TTGCCCAACTTTGTGTCAATGGGCAGGTATTTTGTTTTTCTCTCTCTCTTTTAAATAGCATTATATTATCTCTTTTGCCATTTGTTTCTTTCTTCTAGCTCTTTGATTTTTCCACAATTCCTCTCTCTTTCTCTCTCTCTCTCTCTCTCTCTCTCTGTTTTACTCTCTCATTCTCTTTCTTTTTTTCTTTCTCGCTCTCTCTTTTTCTGATTTACTCTCTCTCCTTCCCTCTTTGTCTGTCAGTCCCTCTACCTTTCACACACATAAATATATGAATACATATACATCTAAAATGTTATTCTGAACACGCAAGCCACATCACCCCCCCCCCCACCACCACCACCACACACTCACTCCCTCCCCCATTTTCCCCTATCCCTCCCTACCCCTTCCCCCACCCACCAACATACCCCAACCCCCCCATCCTCTTTCCTTCCCCCATCTGCTTTCCCCAACACTCAACCCTACTTGTCCCTTTTAATCCCCTCTATCCCTCCTCCCCATTCTAATTTTCCCATCCACCTTCCCTTCTTCTCATTCCCCTTCTGTTTCCCTCCCCTCCCTTCTCTCCTTCCTTCCCCTATTCCTTAATCCATCGCCCTTCAAAGATCCCTTCTGTCTCCTCCTATCCCTCCCCTTCCCTCCCTCCCCTAACTCTGCCCTCCTCTCCCTCCCTCCCCAACTCTACCCTCCTCAACCTTCCTACCTTTCCCTCCCCCCTCGCCCCCACATCCCTCCCTCCTTCCCCACCCTAACCAACCCAACACAAGTATCTCCTCAACCCCCGCCCTTCACCCTTCTCCCTCCCCACCCTCACCCCTCCTCACGCCCACCTTCACCCCTCCTCATTTAACCCTCACCCCCGCCTCTCCCTCACCCTCTAACCCACACGCCCGCCCACTCCTCCTCTCCCCCCGACCCTCCGCCCTCCTCCTCACGCCCGACCACTCCCACTGACCCCCGCCCACGCCCCTCTCACGCCCTTCCGCCAGAGCGATTTCCTGAAGCGCCTCGCGGAGGGCTAAGAGCTTGCCCAAACACGAGAGGAAGCCACCAATTAACCAGACAAAGAATCTCTTCTCACCAAGAAAACGGTAAGGTAGTCTCGGTTTGCCTCAGCCTCGTGTTTGGGGTCACGTACTTAAATTTTTTTTCTCCGTTTTTTTTTTTTCTCTCTCTCTTTTTTTTTTTTGGGGGGGGGGTAGGAAGGGGGAAAGGAAGGGAGGGAGTAAATTTTCATTTTTTTCCTTGTTTTTATTTCATTTTTTTCTTTTATTTATCTATTTATCTTTTTTAGAGGGAGGGTTGCTTTCTTCTTTTTTGTTTTCTTTTTTTCTTTGTTATTGTTATTATTATTAGTTGTAGTACCACCATTCACATTATTAAAGTTGTGGTTATTATTATCATCATTATTGTTGTTGTTGTTATTATTATTGTTGCTGTAATTATCATTATTATCATTATTGTTATCATCATCATTATTATTATTTTCATCATCATTGTTATCATTATTACTACTACTTCTATCCTTATCATCTTCACTATGTTATACATTTATTTTATTATTTATATTACATATAAGTTTTCTTGCACTCTGTTATATATTCTTGTAATCTGCCTCCTCAAGAAAGCAGTAACCTTAGGGATTATGCAAGGAGGGGAGGAGGGAAAGGAGGGGGGGGGGGAGAGGAGTGAGGGAGATTATGGGGGAGTGAGGGGAAGGGGAGGTAAGGAGGGAGCGAGGGAGATTGAGGCGAAAAGGGGAGGGGAAGGAGGAATCGAAGAAGCAGGTGAAGGGAGAGGGAAGGAGGAGGGAAGGAGCAGGTGAAGAGAGGAGGGGAGGGGAGGGAGAGGGGGAGGGGAGGGAGAGGGGGAGGGAGGGAATGAGTGGGGGAGAGAGGAGAGTTCAGGGGAAGTGTTTACGCATACACGGATCTGTAGAGAAGGGAAAAAATAAAAGTTTACACGAGGGAATGCAGATAGGGGGACATTCTGAAAGAAAAAGTGCGTGGGTGTTTGCTTGTGTGTGTTTGTTTGCGTATGTGCGTGTGTCTGTGTTAGCTTTCGTGTACATACACACACACACACACACACACACACACACACACACACACACACACACACATATATATATATATATATATATATATATATATATATATATATATATATATATGTATATATATACATATGTATACATATGTTTGTTTTTTTTGCCTTTATGTATATGTTCATATGTTTGTCTATGTCTGTCTGTTTGCGTGTATGTGTATTTGTGTGCGCTTGTGTGCATATGTGTATGTTTGTTTGCGTGCATGTATATGTGTATGTAAATTTATTGTTTGCGTATATGCATATGTGTGTGCGTGCATGTATATGTACATGAGTTTGTTTGCTTGCGTGTACATATATGTAATCAAGAAAGTAATTAAGAACAAACTGACATGAGCGCACGCACACAAATCAAGCAGACAGGCACAAGCATCAGCAAGACGAGGAGGCAAGCAGGCAGGCGGACAAGCAGACAAGCAGACAGGCAAAGCAAGCAAGGATGATGCAAAGTGATTTATTTACGCGTCGAGTATTTGCATTTAATTCTCTCTTGTTTCCCTCTGGGCGTGTCTTTGCGGGCTGTGTCTTTGAGAGAAAGAGAGAGAGAGAGAGGGAAGAAGAAGGAGAAGGAGGGTGAGGGAGGAAGAAGGGGGGTGGGAGAGGAATGGAGAAGGAAGGGGAGAATAAAAGAGGGAGAATGAGAAGGAGAGAGAGGGGGAGAAGAGGGGGAAAAGGAGAGAGAGGGGGAGAAGAGAGGGAAAAGGAGAGAGAGAGAGAGCTATAAAGAGAAAAAAAATAAAGGGAGTGGGAAAGAGAAGGAGAACGATAATGAAGGGGGGAGAAGGAGAGGGAGGAGGTGAATGGGAAGGAGGGAGAAGAAGAAAGAGAATGGGAAGAAGAGGGAGAATGAAAGAGGGAGGAGGAGAATGTAAGAGAAGAAAGGAGAGAGAATGAGAAGGAGGTGGAAAATGAAAAAAAAAGGAAGGAAAAAGAAGAGAAGAGAGATTAGGAGAAGTGGAGAATTAAATAGGGAGACGAAAAAGAGAGAGGAAAGGGAAGGGAGAAGGAGAGAGAGAAAGGCAAATAGATCTGAAGAGAAAAGGAGAAAGATAGGGAGAATGAAAGAAAATGAGAATTAAGAAGAAAAGAGAGGGGGAGACGTGGAATGAAGGAGGAGGAAGAGAGAAAGTGAAGGAGAGAAGAAAAGGAGAGAGAGGAGGGAAAAAGGGAGAAGATGGAAAAAGAGAAGGAAAAAGGCAAGGAGAAATGTGAAAGAAAGGGAGAAGGATAGAGAAAAGGGAGGGAGAATGAGAAAGAGGGATAGATGGGAAGAGAGAAGGAGAAGGAGAGAGAATGGAGAAAAGAGGAAAGAGAGAGGGGGGGGGGTGAGGGAAAGAGAGAAAGCGAAATGGAGATAGGGACACAAGAAGAGTGGGAAAGGGAGATAAAAGGAGAGAGAGAGAGAATGATAGAGCAGGAGCAGTAGAGGGAGAGGGAAAATAAAAGAGAAACAGAGAGGGAAGAATGGGGAGGGGAGAGGAAAAGGCAAAAAGAGAAAAGCAAAAACAGAGAGAAAGAATTGAACAATAGACTTGAATAGGAAGGAGAAAGAAAAGTTAATTACGAAAAGCCAAGACACACAGGTTTATAAATCTGTGTGTATGTTTATATATACATACATACACACACACACACATACACACACACACACACACACACATATATATACATATATATATATATATATATATATATATATATATATATATATATATATATATATATATATATATATATATATATATATATGCATATACATATATGTGCGTGTGTGTGTGTGTAAGTATATACACATATATAGTAAAATAAGATATTGCTAATAACAAGAATAGCAATAACATTACTAAAGTAATAAGAAAAATAACAATAGCAGTTATAATAATAATAACTATGATAAAAATAACAAATATAATACCAATAATGATATAAATAATGATGATAATGCTGATTATAATAATGACAATGTATTTATCATTGTGCTTCGACATTACCTGATGTGTACAAGGAATAGCCGGGGTTACCAGCGCTGATTTGAACTCAGGACAGTAAGATTGTTAAACTAGAGACGATTGTGTGTGTTACTGTCCCCTTTTCTCTTTTCTCTTCCTAAATCTTTCTGTCTGTTTGGTTGTCTGTCTGTCTGCCTCTCCCTCTCTCTTTCTATCTCTCTCTCTCTCTCAAGTTGGGTAAATCACGCTCAATAATCTGAATATATCAAGATGTTTTGGCTGGGTTAATTGTTCTCCGACTTCCTATTGCGTTTCCGCCCCCATCTCCTACCCCCCTCCCCCCCTCCCCCAAGTGACTAAGTTGTGTCACGGAGTAACTTGTCTCTCTCTCGCTCTTGCTCTCTCTTTCTCTCTATTGTTTCAGTATACACAGCCATAATTGTAGACAGAGAGATGGGAGGGAGCGAGTTCATTGGCTTATATCTGTTTTAGCTGTGTGTATTTAGTATGATTTTTGGTATCAACACTGCTCTTACTGTCATTGTTACCATTATAATTATCACCCCTTATCTAATCATGTCAATACTCAATACTCCTTTGCTTCTGTTATTGCAACTATCAATATCGACACCATTATTATGCCTAATATAATCACTATCATTATCTTTATAGTGGTTTTCATCATTGTAAGACTTGTTATTTCACTCTATGGCGTTCATACTGCGCTGTTCCTTGAGCATAAATTTATAGTGAAAAGGCTTCTTCGTAGTAATTTTAACAAATGCATAACATACGTGCAGGTGTTCAGAGAGGAAGAGAGAGTGTTTAAACAAGAAAATTCTATTTATTGTAAATTCAATATGTCGACTGAACCTTTCGTGTATTCTACCAAACAAAGCGGTCTAACACATTAAGCGGAAGGCTAATAAGTGACCTGACCTTGCCTCCTGGTCAAGGGATCCCAAGAGAGTTCACGTACACCTGTAAGGGTAAGGTATCCACTGGCTGGGCTGGAAATGTTCAAGAACATTTTCTACCCACCACATCCCAGTCATTATATCTATATGTGAAATATTTATTCTCTGTGTACTATACCCTCTTCTGTAAATCAGTGAACTCAAACCAAACAATCTGAACCTTAACTGCTCATACCAGACAATCTAAACCTTCACTGCTCCTACCAGACACCCAAAGTTTCACTCCTCTACCTGACCTTCTAAACCTCTATTATTACAAGCGACAGTTTCGCAGCTGGTGGCAGCGGTGGGATGCTCCGTCTTCACAGTTGTAGAACGCAAACTCTCGGGGGCTTCCTTTGGCCGAGACACGAGGTCAGCTAACTTACTAGGTGTGTTAGCTGACTTGTATAGAAGCATATATTGTGTGGCTTGGGCGGAATTGCCATTTTGAAATTACAATGAATTTACAAAGCATTATTATAGACATCATTTGCCTCACTATTATCAACAATAGCATCACCATCATTATCACCGATGAAATCAGTTTCACCATCACTTATGTCGATACACCATCACTCATCACCATCACTAATGCCACCACTATCCATATCATCTTCAGAAAACATCATCAACAGTATCACCATCTTCACTACCATTACTAACACAGATACCATCATTATCTTCACAACCAACACCATCATTATCAAAATTACCATCATTAATATCACCATTATCACCACCATACCACTACTGTCAGCATCACCAACCCCATCATCATCGGTACCACCACCGCCATCACCATCACCATTACCCCAATCCTTAACTCCAACACACCACCATCACCACCAATCCCACCATCACCCCTACCTCCAACACCCTCACCATCATCCCCACCTTCATTACCAACCCCCCCCCCCATCACCATCACCCCTACTTTCACCACCATCCCCACCTGCATTACCAACCCCCCCCCCCCCATCACCATCACCCCTACTTTCACCACCATCCCCACCTTCATTACCAACCCCACCATCACCCCTACCTCCACCACCCTCACCACCATCCCCACCTTCATTACCCCCCCACCCCCCATCACCACCACCCAAGCGGAGCCACAGCCTCCTGCCGAGGATCAGTCTGGCGTGAGATCAATTCCCTTCCGCTTCTTGTTTCAGGCTTCTGGAAGTTGCAAAGTTGCTCACAAGTTGCCACCAATTAACCGGACAAAGACACGCTAGCGAGTTCATTGTCGGGTGGAAGAGGGGTGGGTTGGGGGGGGAGAGGAGTTGGGGTGAAGGTGGTTGGGGTGAGGGAGGTGGGTTGGGAGGGGGTGTAGTAGGGGGGAGAGAGGGGGTATTGTGAGAGGTTAGGGGTGAGGGAGATGGGCTTGGAGGGGGTATGGTGGGGGTGGGGGTAAAGGAGGGGTGAGGAATGGGTGGTGAGGAGTGAGGGAAGAGGGGAAGGAGAGGGAGAGGGTTAAAGTGATGGAGAAGAAGGGGAGATGGGGATGACGCGTGGGGGCGGGTAGGGAGGGGGGGGTGAGGGAGGAGAAGGGGAGGGAGAGAGATATTGTATACTTGTCAGGCGCGAGGTGTGTGCGCGTTTGTCAGCAGAAATTGTGTGGTTGATATGAGATTACGAAACGTGTGTTTATGTACGTGTGTATACGTATGTATATCCGTGTGAGTATCTATTAACAGAACACATGTACAAATTATTTCATCTTTATGTATAGTTCTGTTTACGTGTACATGTGTACTTCTGTCAGCAAAACGCATGTATGTATGTAATTGTATTCGTACATGTGTGAGTGCGTGATCTGTAAGTATGAACACCTCTTTCTTTCTTTTCTTTTTCTTTCTTTTCTTTTCTGTCATCTTGTTATCGCCGTCTTACGCAAACATTGCTATGGATTCTCTCTCTTGTCTTGAAGATCTTTTCTATCTATTTATCATTATTATGTTTTTATGATTCAAATGGAATAACGTTGTGTGTATACATATATACATATACATATATATGTATATATACATATATACATGCATATATATATATATATATATATATATATATATATATATATATATATATATATACATATACATATATATATATATATATATATATATATATATATATATATATATATATATATATATATATATATATACATACATAGAGAGAGAGAGAGAGATGACTCCATTTTTAATAATGCTCATGTTTGTTTATGTCACAAGACAAAAAAGTATATGATATCTAATATGAAATTATAATTTTTTGCAATTACATTCCTCGCTTTCAAAACAAGAGTTTATAAGATTTTTCTTTGTTTGTTCAGTAAGTCTGTATTCAAAAAAGAGATTCCGAATTTTACAACAAACACCCACAAGAAAGGAAACAAAAAAATCTTTCATAAAGCGGTTGTTTGTTTACATTTCAGAGAGGGATCCCAAATATAAACCTAAAAAAAAACTCCTCTTTTTATATTCATGATACTTCCTTTCACTGCAGAGTGTAATTTAAATAATTCATCTATTACAATAATACCGAGTTATTGCTGTCGGCAACTCTAACATCAAATTTTATAAAGCTGATTAGATTAATGTATAAATCATTTGCAGAGTGGAATACCATTGGGCTCTGTGAATACGCCCTAATGTTGTATCTCGCAGTGAACACATTAACAAAATGGCTGAAGTTGAGTAAATAAATCATTGTTTTTTAAATTTTTATCTACTTATTATTATCATCATTATTTTAATCGTGACACAGTTTGGTTTTCTTTATTTCACTCAGGATATTGTTCAACGTCGTTTGCAAACGTGTCAATTTAGGTTAACAAATATGCCCAGTCTATTACTTTCCCATTTCATGAATCGTTATGTAATATATAGAGCTGATAGATGTACGTTATCTATTATTGTTATTATCTTCATCTTTACTGATAAATAATAACATTACTAGTAATGATAGCAATAGCAATAACAGTAATAATGATAATCACAATGGGAATATTGATGATGATGATAATGATGGGGATAATAATGATAATGATGATAGTGATTATGATAAAGATGATAATGATAATTATGATCATAATGGTACATAGTATTGATAATGATGATAGATATAATGTTATTGATAACGATAATAATAACAATAAAAATGATAACAATTATCGTTTCTATTATGATGATAACATTAATTGCAGTAAAAGTAGTAGCAATGATAATAATCATAATGATAACAATATTATTAACAATTGTAGCAATTGCACTGATAACAATATTAAAAACAGAAACAACTGCAGTAATAATACTAATAATAACAGAAAAAAAACAACAGCAATGATTAAGATAATGATAGCAATGATAATGATATGATAATTATTATCATTGTTTGGATTATTATCATTATTATTATGATAATAGCGATATTATTATTATAGTGATAATAATAATGATAATTATAATAACAATAATAATACTAATTATTATTATTATTGCTATTATTATTATTATCATCATCATCATTATTATTTTTATTATTATTATCACTATTATTATTATTATCGTTATTATTATTATTATTACTGTTACTATTATTATCATTATTATCATTATTATTATTATCATTGTTATTAGGATGGCAATAACAATAATAATAATAATTGTAATAAAACATTAATAACAGTAGAAATAAGGATGATTATTATGACAATAATAATAATAATAATAATAATAATAATAGTAGTAGTAATAGTGATGATAATAATGATGATAATAATGACGATATTGATCATCATCATAAGGGGGCATACGCATGACTGCGATATTGATGATGATAATTATAACAATGATGATATTGATGATGATGATAACAATGATGATTATAATGGTAGCAATATTAAAATTGATGATGATAATAATGACAGTGATTTGACAATAGCAATAATGATGATTAAAAAAAATCATAACAATAACTATCTTAACAATAATAACAACACTGATATTACTACTAATAATAATGACAATGATAGCACTATCTATAATAACAGCAATTATGCTAATAATAAGGATACTTACAGCGATGATAATAATAATGATAATGATAGTAATGATAATAATGTTAATGATAAGGATAATGATAACAAAATGATAGTGATGTTGATAATAATGGTAATAATAACAATGCTCATAGTAGTAGTAGCAATAATAGTGATGATAATGATAATGATAATAACAATAATAACGATAACAATAATAATGATAATGATAGTATTAACAGTAATAATGATAATAAAATCAGTGAATTAGCAAATCACAATAACACTGATAACAACAAGAATAGCAATAATAACATTGCTAATAATAATAACAATAGTTATGATGATAATGATATTAACAATAATAACAATAATGATAATAGTAATAATAATAATGATAATAATGATAATGATAATGATAATAATGACAATAATGATAACAATAATATTGATATCGTTAATAATAACCGAAAAAAAATAATGATAATAACAACAGTAACCGTAACAATAACAATAATAATAACAATACTGCTACTACTATTAATAAGACCAACAATGATGTAAAAGAGTGATGAAACCACCTTGATACCTGATACACTGAACAGAGCTATAATTCCTGAACAGAATCCACGCTGTGAACACACATCTCGTCATTGATATCGAGTAGAAAGAATCTTAATGCAATATCGATTATTAATCAAAAGGGACAAAAAGAGTGATACATCATTGTTGCAAAGTGTCTGATGTAATGGACGTTTCCTATCACAGATAAAGTCACTTTGATAATATTATTTCATTTCACTTGTCTACTTCGTGTTTCGAACGAGCTAATCTATTTTAAGGATGATTTTGGATAATGCTTTTGGGGGATTATCATCATTATGACGAGTGATGAGAGAGAGAGAGAGTGTAGTGTCAATAGCATAGTTCATCGTTGGAGTTCGGTGGGTAGATGAGTTAATGTACAGTGTAATAAAAGTCTTAAGAGGGAGCGGAGGGTTAAATTCAGTAGATTATATGTTGTCATATTTCTTAAGGAGAGCATACCGTTAGAACGTTAGAATAGGCTATACTGGCCGTAGAAATATCTTTTTGCTAGTATATGGCAGTAGCCTATAGTACCCTTAGATAAATTGCCGTATAGAGTGATATGGTGAAAGAATACTTTGGATAGAACTCCTGAGGAAATGCTTCTCGTCAGAAAATTGGAGTATATAACAGTATTCTTTAAAGGTCATTCAAAGTTAATAAAAAATACATCTTATATATAAATCATACATCTTCATGACAGATAACTCTGAAGACATTACAATACAACATATCACAACATTCTCGATAAATCCTATTAGTCAGTAGATGTATTACAATATCTATTTGTTATCAGTGCATTTTATAGCTTTTAACCCATTGCCGCCGGGGATGGCATGTACGTACATGCCATGCCCACTGTGAGTCGACTTGTTCGATTGTTTTTCCACATAGATGGCTACACTTGTACTAAGTATCCAATGAGCCAATTACGAGTACTGCCTGTCTCGCCCGTTCACCCTTTTCATCGATTTACGAAAATATTTAACGTTATCCTAAGTTGCTGTTAAAAATAACACCATC